GTCAAGGAGGCCATGGCGAGGATGCAGGGCATCCCCAACGTCCAGCGCACCGAAGCGCAGCGCGAGCTGCAGCAACGGTGGCGCCAACCTGAGTGGGTGAAGGCATGGGAGACGGGCGCGCCGTTGCCGCCGCCACCTGTGCCGCCGCACCCGGACATCAGGTTCGACATCGACGCCATGGACGGCACCTCCGACGACTACGACTGGTACCCCGCCAAGGAGACGCGACAGACCGCGCCGCCGGCTAATGAGCCGGCGGCCAAGCGCAAGGGCAAGGAGAAGGAGAAGGCCGCATCAGGCCCAACCACCAGCAAGGTCGCGCCCACAAGCGCAACCCTCCCCTCCGAGCCGGGCCCCAACACGGACGAAGGGACTTGGAGGACGTGGTTGAGAACGCTCAACTACGTCCCTCAGGGTCTTCGGATGCGGAACGGGGAGGTCACCCGGTCCACTCTCCTCGCCATGTGCGAGCTTAACCAGCTCGTACCCGCCAGTCCCGCGCACCGTTTCATGTTCCTGCGAACGGTGTGCGAACTCGTCGTCGACCACGACGAGTACCGCAGGAAGCTTGGGAGTGCGGGCCTAACCCCGTACCCCCTCAGGGTTTATAAACCCTTCCCAGTGGACGGCGGCTCGTCAATTACGACGGCCGCCGTACTCGAATTCCTGGCGAGCTGTGGAGTCTCGCCCGAGGTTGCGCGCCGCTACCACGCATACAGCCTTGCATGGCTGGAGGCGTACGTGGAGAAGCGAAACCCGGCACCAACGGACTCGGCACGCGTTGCCTACGAGCGCGCGCTGATCAAGAAGTCCCAGACTCCTGCCCCGACGTCATCCACGGGGAGTGCTTCGGCGCCGACAGCCGCGGATGCAGCATCAGGTTCGTCGAAGCCAGCACCCAAGTCGCCCGCTCGCACCGACGACATGATCGTCGACGAGCGGGAGGAATTCCAAACCGCGCAGTCCACTGGCGAAGCAAACCCCGCTTGACTTGCGGTGGAACGCTGGCGCAGCACTTGCAAAGCGGCCCTCGCGGCTCCCGCAGCACCTGCGACATGCCCGACGTCACCATCCTGGCGAGCTATGCTCGCCCTATCCCTATCCTAAGGACTACGCAGTCTATGGACAGCGGCAACCGAAAGGTTGCCAATCCTCCATTTTATTTTTCTTATTTCTGGATGGTGGCTTCGTCAGCCACCTCGTATTCGCGCACGCGGGCCAGCCCGCTAATTTTCATTCTATCCTGTATC